TGTTCAGCACATTTTTTATGCAGTTTTTGTGGTAAAATTAGGTGCCTCAGCTGATATTTGGGTCGGTTTATACTTGGGTATATACAGTAATTAACGTCACTGAATTGAACACATGTGGCCAATGTTTCCACACACACGCACACACACACGCGGAGTTTCAGAATGGTTGCGGGAAAAGTCCATTCTCTCTTCATTGCACTGCACGTGAACTTTCTGAAGCACCTCGTGTGTGCGCACGTGCACAAACATCATATTATATCTGAACACAATTTCTAACAATGGTTAGAAATGCCTTGCTGTGTTTTACCACAATACCGTGATTTTTCATAGAATCCATGAGCTATTAAGAAGCATAAAGTGACATAACATGAATGGGATGTTATGACTAGCAAACATGTATTTTTCTATGATGTGAAATTGTGAATTGTAATGCTTATAGAGACATATACCCCCTGAACAACCATTGCATTTTTTAAACTAATGAGGCCAGAACTTAAGAACAAGCACCCAAAATCCTCTTCCTCGACTCATTAATCAAGCAGCATTTTGAAAAGGGCACAGGAAATATAACAAACATTAGGTTAATACACATCATACGTGCCCTAACATATATTCTTAAAGTCCTGCTTCCCAGCGAAAGCTATGACAGTCACCCCAGACTTCACTCTTAAACACAGAGAGGAAGGAGGGTGTGGTGGCGGGCTGCATGGGCCAATACGAAGTGAAAATGGCAACTATCAGCTGGGAAGTTCTCTTTAGCCTAGAGCCTTTAAGAGCTTGGTAATGGTTGAAAAAGTTTCTTGCTAAATTACTTCCAACACGAGTGTAGTGGTTAAATAATTTCACGTCAACCTAAAGTTTAGGGCTGGAGTCTAGCCTGACAATCAGATCACAGCCTGATGGTGCCTCCTTGTGGGCATGGCCTTCTCATGAGGAAGGTCCTTAGAACCTCCCTCCCTCTCTCTCTCTCTGCCTTCATCTTCCTGCTGGTGAGCCACTCAGAGACCTGCTGGAGACCTGTGGGAGCCCTGGAGATGCATCTACTGCCATTGGATCCACAAGGCTTTGCACCTGCCGGCTGGTGATGTTCATGGATTCTACATCATTGCATATGGCTTTGTGAGTCTGACAGGGACTTATGGATTAGTATTGGACTTATCAGCTTGGCCTAAACCAGTGGTTCTCAACCTGACTCTTTCGTAGGGGCTGCCTAAGACCATCAAAAAACACATATTTCCGATGGTCTTAGGAACCGAGACACAACTCTTCTATCCGTCTCCAGACAGGTCTGCCCACATACAGATATGACCACAGACGAGTACCCGGCACGAAGACTGTTAGCCATGCTACACCATGTTTTAAGACATTTCATTGATTTGTCATTACAAATAAATATTTCACAATATATAATTATATATTGCTTTTGTAATGAATCACTATGCTTTAATTATGTTCAATTTGTAACAATAAAAATACATCCTACATATCAGATATTTACATGACAATTCATAACAGTAGCAAAATGATAGTGATGAAGTAGCAACAAAAATAATTTTATGGTTGGGGGGATCACCACAACACGAGGAACTGTATGAAAGGGCCTCAGCATGAGTTAGGTTGAGAACCACTGGTCTAGACTGAGCTGCGGTGTCTTACTGATACACAATTACCTCTTGCCATAAGCTCTTTCTTCCACATCTATGAGTGTCATTGGATTTGTTTTTCTAGTCCGCCCAGCCTAGCACATTATGGTACCTGTGAATCGGGGCACTAGTGTAACAAATCATGAAGACGGAGAAGAACGGACGCTTGTTTCCCTTCTGCCTTACAGTGGTTTTCTTTCTTGGCTAGACAGAGGTCAGAAAGGCCACACAGTTTACTCAACTGATTTCTGGAAAGGCCATGGGAAGTGAAGGTTTTGCTTCCAAGAAGTTGTCTTTTGTTATTCCTGTTTGAAATGGCAAAAAATAAATGTAATAAATGTAAATTTTGAGCTCAGGGGACAGAGTGACCCATTGAACTCTGAGACGATGCTGCCTAGTCAAAATGGATGACAGAAGGTGCCACCCTGGCTTGATGCAGCCAGAGGCCTCAGGCCATATTGCCTATGAATGAGATAGTTTACATAAGGATTAAAGTTGACTGTTTGAAGAATGTGTTTAGGATCGGGCTGTACAAGGATTATATTGATTTCTTCCACTTATTGATATAATGAGCGATAGAAATGATTATTGGGAAGTATGAATAGCGTTTGTATGTCTACTGCCTTCAGCCATTAAATTAGATCTTTAAATGGATATAGGACATGCCTGCAAAGAAGGCCCTGAAAATATAAGCCCCACCCAGTTCCATGAGTGCTTGGTACATTTGCATTTGAAAAGACTTGCTGAGAAAGCTGTTGACAGATTGAGGAGAGAAAAAGGAGCCTCTTGGATTTTTAAATTTTGAACTGGTGGTTTGTACCTGAAGCTGGAAAAAAATTGGAGCCATGAAGAACCTCTCCTTCCTAGGACTGAAAGTGAAAGACAGCCTGTGGGCAGCCTGAAAAGCTCGCTAGGTGACTACCTGGAACCACTTGTTAAATTGAAGTGGGAGAAAAGCAGCAATAGAGGGACAGGTTAAGTCTGGCCACTGACACCCATGGTCCTGGTTCATAGACACTAAAGGAGAAGGCGAGAGTGGGTTGGCTGGTCTGAAGTGTATAGAGTCGTGTGGAACCTGAGTCTATGGCATGACCTCACCCAAGGGAGCTAGGGTTGTTGAGAATTTGTGACAGGGTCCATGGTCAAAAGGCGAGGTGGCCAAGGGGCATCCTTGGGAGGCTAAGCAAGGCAGCCCACAATGAGTGGACCAAAACCCAACCCAACAAAGAAAAGATTTTAAAGCCTGTGAATCAATGCATCTTGGTGCTGACTTTATGGATGGCCTGTCCTGATTTGACTTTGCTTAAGGATGCGGACTCACAAGGTCCAACTGGAATGAAGACTCTTCACATCAAAGAATATGCTGTCTCCTCGCAGCACTGGTCTGATACAAATGGGCAGTGTAGAAATCAGATACCCAAAATGGGGAGTCATAAAGCCATGAAGTGTCCGGCTTACAAACTTTCATGAGTGGAGGAATGTGTTCATAGAATTATGGTGTAGGTGTTCACATAATATTCTAAAAGTGAACAAAACAAAAATACTCTACACAAAACAACTGCAGTTCTGTTCCGACCCATAGCGACCCTATGCACAACAGAATGAAACTTGGTAACGTGGAGGGGCAGCGGAAAAGAGGAAGTCCCTCAACAAGATGGATCGACATTGAAATAGTGGCTGCAACAATAGGCTCACGCACAGGAACAATTGTGAGGATGGCGCAGGACCGTGTAGTATTTGACTCTGTTGTGCACAGGGTCGCTATGGGTCCGGACCGACTCATAGCACCGAACAACAACAAAGGTGCCCATATTGAGGAAACTCTCTGGAATACCTGTCTTCTCCTGTGAGAAGGTGGGGAAGCCCTTCCTCCGGTGATCTCCTCTCTCATCTCTGAGCAGGGATTTGCCAGGAGCAAAATGCCTAAGAGTAACTGCTGGCAAGTCCTAGCGACGTTCCTGTTGGAGACACCTGGTCCTTCTTTGGAAACGTCAAAGGCATTCAAGAAATGCAGGAAGTGAAAGGTAAAGAACATGAGAAAGAGATAAGGAACACAAAGAACATATTTCTACACCAAATATACGTGTCTGCACACAAGCTAAGCCTGTGCCGAAATGTCCCAAGGTGGGCTGCAAGGTCAAAAGCCTATGGTTCAGGCATCGATGTGTCAAGGGCAATGGATTATAAACGCAGAATGATAGTCATGCTAAAATGATGCCGAGAACGAAAGGAGGTTAGAAGTGGATTTCTAATCAGCGAATTCATGAATGTGTGCCCAGAATTGCACACTGTCTAGAATTTGGGTTTTGCCGCACTTAAACAATAAAGGTTTGAAACCGAGCCCAAGGAGAAACATCTCCTGCGTTGCCTGAGCACGCTGCTTCGTAACAGACAGGGTGTCCCCACTGCACATCTGTGCTTCAAAACGGCACACTTCACCCTGGGACGAACCTCCTAGCAAACGAGATTCTCACTTGCCAGTGGCAATCCTTTTTTTTTTAGCTCCACACTGGCAATAAAATTGAGATGCCGCCTTCGTTTTAACTAGAGACTGGCTGGCATTTCTGAAAGCCGGGGTGAGCGCTCATCACCAGTATCAAAGTGAGAGGGAGATGCAGTCTGACAAACGGCTTTCCCTTTTGTGCCGCTCAACGCTCTATCAACGACGAACACTGCAACCGTTCCAGGCAAGGAAGCCGGGTCATATAATTCATGAGGGAAAAGCCGAACTAAAAGACTCTTTTTAGGGGAGCAAAGGCGGACGTGAAAGATAGCATAAGGAAGTGTTTTCCACCACTATCTGTCACTCTAATTATAGTTTTTAAAAAAATTAATTGAGCTTAACTTAGAGAAATGTCATTATAAAAAGGCAGTGCACAAAAAAATTTTTTAAGGAAAAAAAACACAGTGCCACATGGCTGGCAATATAAGACAACAAATAATGTTAGAACATTATTAGCATTTTATTATTTTTTAAAAAATTAGAACTTTCTTAGCGTTCGTTTTATAATTAAATTTTATTTTTTTTATTAAATTTTATTAAATTTTTAATTTATAATTAAAAAAAACATTTTTTTAATGATTTTTAAAGCCAGAATCTATGAGAGTGTGTCTCTGGACTTAACTTACCCTGCTTGAGGCTGTCTCTGAACAAAATACATTATCAGAAGAGAATGTGTTTTCCTCCAAATGTCAAATTTTATTACAGTCAACAGATAAAAATACAAAAAGGTCACTCCCTAGAGACAAATAAATACCACTAGGATTTTAAATTACTCCTCCCGACACCAATTCCGCACAGCGTAGAGACGGCTCCATTTTTCTGAGGAAGGTGAAGGGGCATTGGGCGCTACTTACGAGAATAGTTCCGTAACTGAAGAGGAACTCCTCCGTGACAACCTGCGGTCGAAATACCTGTAAGATGGGAGGTGCCACAGATGAAATCCTCAGGGGCACGAGCAATTGCAGTTCAAGAAAGAAAGAAAGGAAATGCTTTGCTGGCCTAAAGGGGGCTCAGCTCCAGTGCTTAAAGCAAGGAGCCATATGTATATTCTTCTTTTCCCTAGGGAGAGGTTACCTGAGAAGTCACCAGGTGAAGCACAATAGGCATCAGGGGGAGGCAGAGCTTCAGCTGCTTCACTTGCACTGTTGACGGGTGCTTGCGGCCAGAAACACTCGCCAGGGCGTTCAGAATGTCACCTGTGGAGCAGACCAGCGCAGGGATGAGGTGAGAGGCTGCCACACACCATCATGGGAAGTTACTAGAATACGAAGGGGGTGGCCTGGGCAAGCAAAGAAGTGAGAGACTCTGGCCGGTATTCACCATTATCCAAGGTATGGTTGCTCTGACCTAATGAGCAGTCTGGAAAAACAAAAAACCCTCCCCAAGTATAGGTATGAATCAGTCATGAGGATAGTTTCATTACTTTAATATTTGGAGTTTCTGTCTGTGAGTTGATTTTACCACAATGCCTTGGACCCAGTTTAACAATGTAAAGATTTCTGGTTTACAGCTACATCTGCTGGACAATCATGGAATGGGGTTGGAAGCAAAAGCACCTACTTCTTGGGTTCTTTCAGTCCCTGCAAATAGCAAGGAAATACGGGCGTTTCAGCTGTAATAGATACGCTTTGCAAATCATTATCAGATCATTTTATCCCAAAGACAATTTTTCAAATGTGGTCATGATTGCACAGTTCTCTCTGGGATGAGTGAACTATTTTTTTTTAAGATCATTTTTCAAACTGAAGAAATTTGCAAACTGAAAACATTAAACTCAATATCAAGATTAGCATGAGATGTTCATGCCTACACATTTTGAAATTGTCTGAATGGTATAAAAAGACAGGCAGCTCAAACTTCACAGCGGACAAAATGCCTTCAGGATTAGGAAGGAATCTCGGGAGACCAAAATACCAAAAGGAACCGAGAAAGCACAGTGTGCACCGTGAAAACATTCTCCGTGTTTGTTTTCCCAGACGGTCTGTTTACCGCAGACAGCACGCCACGGGGCCGCAGCCTGCTCTCTGCCTCAACCATCCGGCTGAGGAAAATAATGACAAAGACGGGGAAGGGACATTTGAACCTTGAAACGTGTCCCGCGAGAACAGCAAAAGGGGCGAGGCCAGGTGGCAGAAAGGAAACGCAGGCGCGCCTGCGATTTACCCAGGATGCGTGGCAGTCCCTGCGCGATGTGGCGGATGAGGAGGTCCAGGCACTGGGACAGGTACGCGTTGCCGCCCTGCTGCTCCTTGCCTGGGGAGGTCTTCCTGCTGTCTCGCTCAATGTACATCACCAGTCTACACACAGGAAAGTGCACAGGATTACCTCTCGGGTTAACACAGATGCTCGTAACCGCCTGACAATGCCGCCGGGTCAGGTGTTTCCAGAGGACACAGTCCCTGGCACAGTGACATTTCGACTGGCAGCAAGCAACTTGTCAGACACAGTAGACTTTTTGCCTTAGAGAAAATGAAACGTTTCCGCGGGAAGAAAATAAAGCAACTTTGACTCCCTCGGCTGATGTATTCTGTAAGGATGCCCTGACTGTATTTGCCTTTAACCAATGAAAAGAAACAGCATTCTCCAATGACAGATCAAAGCCAGCCAGGGCGGCTGGCCAGAGGAGGGCTCTTGGTGTTTCAACTATTCAAATGGGAACCACAAGGGAACTGCGCTTGGGTTGGTCATTAACCTCCGGCTTGGCTTGGAAATTAGGCAATTCACATGAATTGCAGTTCTCGCCATACGGCGGGCACGTGCATCCAAACAAAAAGTCTCATTCTGCAGAATGAAATGGAGTCATGGAGGTAGTAGAGGTTATCGAACACCCGATTTCACAGACCCAGCAGCTATGAGTCGGACCAACCTGACAGCAGCGAGTGAGAGTTTTTGTTTAACACTTTGGTGATAATTAGTGTGGTAGTTACATAATCTGGTGTCAATTTGAGAGGATTACGAGTGAAGGGGTGGAGGCTGGCCTGTCAATCAAGTTATAACCAATGAGGCCTCTGTGTGGGCATGGCCTTCTCCTGAGGATTCTGGGAACTCCTGTATTTTCCTCCTTGGAGACGGGAGACACTTCTCTCTCTCTGCTCAGTCCCTGAGAGACGCTCTACTGACAAGACACGTGGCGCTATGCTCTGGGAGCTGGAGAAGCCACGTGGACCTACCCTAATGCAACCAGACCTCTGGGGCTTGAAGCCATGGAGAGACCCCTGCCAGTGCTGAGACGCTTACACCACCACTGGATCCAGAAGACTTCCAACCCACTGGCCTGTGATCCTCCTGCATTCGGCGTCATTGCATGTATTTCGTGAGTCTGAGGAGGACTTTACAGATTGGAATCGGACATCTGGGCTAATATTGGACTTATGGTCTTGATCTGGACTGGGCTGGAATGTTTTCTCAATATTCAATTGCTCTTGTAAATAAACCTCTTTCTTATAAACATGAATGTCTATGAATTTGTTTCTCTAGTCTACCCAGACTAGAGAACATAATCAACTTTTAATCAGAAATTATTTGAAACCAGAAGAACTAGATAGCTATGTACAACAGTAGTGGAAGCAAGAGGGTGGGGAGGTGGTGGGGAGCAGGAGTAAAAATGTGCTTGGTTGCCACTATAAACTGCTCTGAAAGGGATCCCAGGATCCCATTGGACCTTCTGGTCCTGGGCAGAGTGAGAAAAAAAATGTAGACCAGAACTCAACATGTTAAAAGAGACCAGACTTCCTGGTCAGATAGGGATGGGTAGAATACCCAAGACTATAGCCCTTAGTCATCTTTCAGGTCTGGAACTCTAGGGAAATAATCAACCATTTAAGATCAAAAGGGAGCATTTCCCCAAGAACAAAGTGCAGAGGGTTAGGGAAGGTGGGGGTGGTGGAAATAGGAAACACAGGGAGGATACGGAAGATAAGCAATAGAACATTGAGGGGATTTAAATGGATGCTTATTTTTTAAATGTAAAATTGATATGTTCTCTCAACCTTCACCTCACAATAAAAAGGTAAAAAAAACCAAAACCAAAAGCCCTAAAAACATATCCTCTAAACCTCTGCCACTCATTAAACATCCATCTCTAACTAGCTCTTTATAACCCAGCACAGGAAAAACACTAGACTATCACCCTAGATGCTGAGGTGAAAAGTTGTGGCCCTCCTCACATAGTCCCCCTTTTGCTGCAAACAGCCAGCCCTTGTCCCAAGATCCCATTCCCCTCAGCTTCCCAAAGGACAATGAGTGCATTGACTGTATCATGTCCATCCCTGTCCCAGGGACCCCTCTGTGTGCCATGGCCCATCTCTCCAGTTCTGGGGTACTCACTTATCCAGCAAGCTTTTTATTTCTCTGACGGAATTTCCAACACAGCCCCTACAATAACTGGAAAGAGGTCATTTCACACATAACACTTAGCATCCATGGGCACTCTTGCTAGCTTCACTTATCTATTAGCCTTGCTATTATCTAGAGTCCTATTCGTGGAAACCGGAGGATAAAACTAAATCAGTAGTTCAAGTTCCTTAGTAGCCAGTTAGTGCCCTTGGTTCTAGTCACTGACTACAGCTCTAGGCATGCGCTCATAAACGTATGACATTGCTCAAAAGGCAGAGGCAATAGCCTTTTTTGCTGCAGCTGCTGCAAGAATGAAGCCCATTCTCAGCATCGCTATTCCAGAGAATGCCAACATCACCCTGAAGGAGGACGCCATTATGGTGAAGGAACCCTACAGAGGGACTTCAATCACATCAACATAGAACTGAGGCTCCTTGGAAAGAAAAACAGGGGGCTTTGAGTTGACGAATGGTGGGGAACTAGAAAGGAACTGGCTACAGTCCGCACAATCTGTAGGCATGTTCAGAACATGATCAAGGGTGTCACACTGGGCTGCCGATACAAGAGTAGGTCTGCGTGTGCCTACTCCCCATCAGTGCTGTTATTCATGAGAATGGGTCTCTGGTTGAAATTCTTAACTTCTTAGGTGAAAAAACATCCTAGAGTGTTCGCAAGTGGACAGGCGTTGCTTGTGCCTTTTCTCAAATCTAGAAAGAGGAATTCATTCTTGAAGTTAACAGCATTGAGCTTGTATCAAATTCAGCTGCTTTAATTCAGCAAACCATGACAGTTAAAACAAGACCATCTGAAATATTTCAGATGGCATCTATGTTTCTGAAAAAGGAACCATTCAATAAGCTGATGAGAAGATCTAAGAGGTGTCCAGCCACAGGCTCGATGGTCCCTTAAACCTGTTTGTGATGCTTTGATGCAATAAAGTTTATCTAATGAAAAAGAGATGCAAAGGAGTGACAGGACCTGGATCAGACTACCAGCCAGCCAGTGTAGACATCCTTCACAACCAGAGTCCACACACTGTCCCTGTGGCCTCCTGGAGCTTCCAAGAGAATAGCCGCAACTCTGAGGACCCTTGACTAGTTGGTACGATCAGGAACAGGGGGACCCACCTTCCTTTCCTGCATCCCCAAGATGGGTGCCCCACCCCTCACTGTCCAGCCTCAGCATCTGCACAACAGCCTTTCAAAAATGAAAGATCACTAGATTCAACAGCATCTCATCCAACCTAAGGCTTTCACAACCTGCTCGTACTCCTACTTGCTCATCCAAGTACTTCCACTCTGATAGTTATTCCATTTCTTGGGAATGGCTGCTAGTTGACTACCTGACATGTGCTCCCAATCCATCTTCACTTTCTTTTCTGACCCGGATTATATTCGACCGGCTAACTTTTGACTATACTCTTGGTCCTCGTTTTTATTAACCTGTACCCACTCTGGACAGCCCAGTGATTTACTTTCTGTACAACGACAGAGAAGACGACTATGGAAGCACGAGACACATGGAGCAGAGTCACACATTGGGAGGGAGCTTCAAAAACATGATGGCAAATTAAAATTAAAAGATAGTAAAAAGTTTCCATGAATTTTTGAAGCCCCCCTGAAGCTAGGCATGACACCAATATCAAATAGACCAGACCCCTTTCAGGAAGCTGACTGCATTTCTTTGGTCACCCAATCCCCAGGGAATACAGGATTATTTCAAAAGTTTCTTCTCTTCAAACTTCAAAGCTTCCATCCTCTCCTGAGACTCCCAGTAGCCTTACCTTTTTACAGAGAAGACAGAAAACATACAGAAATCATTGACTCCTGCATCCCAATATCTACATCCGCTGACCTCTGTTCTCAGCTAACTTTCCTTTCTTCCTTGCTCACAATGGAACCTATCTCTCCCGTTCCAGCGAAGCTTTGAAAATCCCATTCCCTTCCACTTTCCCAGAACCTTAAAATTGCTTATTGTGCATTTTAGCATTTATATCTTCAGAGTCTTGCATTTAACAAAGCACAGACCTACCATACTCCGCCAGTAAATTCCCTTCTCTAACCTCTTACGAGAGACACTGATATCTTACTGCTTCCACTTTTCCTCTTACTTGTTCCTCAACCCACTGCAAATGCATTGGAGCTCACCCCTGTAACGTTCTCTTGAAGGTCAACGACAACCTCCATGACATCAAATGCAGCCGGTATTTTCCTGCCGTCACCAATTTCGGGACAATGCAGCATAAGTTAACTCGGTTGGCAGTTTCTCTTCTGTTTCCTTGGCTACCATGACCCCAAATTTTTCTGTTTTCTCCTCCAGTCTTTCTGGTTGCTATTTCATTGCATATTTTATGAGTTCATACTTCTCGTTGCTCAAGTTGATCCAGACTCAGAGTTCTAAATAAAGTCCTGCTGTTCTTCGCTTTCTACCCCCTTGGCCTAGAGTGTGCCAGCCCATTTACAGAGACGTCTTCCAATTACCTACTGGAAGCCCAAGTCCAGTCTCCAAAGCTCTGGTTGGTTGCCAGCAAGTCAATTCTGATGAAAGACAATCCTGTTTGTGGATGACACAATGGTTAAGTACTTGACTACCTAACCAAACTACTTCAAATCCACTGATGAGGCAGGAAAGGCGATTTGCTTTTGAAAGGTCTCTGAGCTACAGAGCTTCATTCAATTGATAACTTCACTGCTTGTTTCACTCAAAAGCACTTAAACTCGGTTCATCCAAAATATCATCCTGCCAAATCGAGTTGCCTTTCAGAGTACAATAATTCACCAAATGGTATCACTCTCTACCACAACAGAAACTTAGAAGTCATATTTAACACCTCCCTTCCTTTGGAAATTCAATCATCATGATGATGGTGTGTCAAACTATGGTGTAATATGATACTTGGTCAGTTGACCTCCCTCTGGATCCAGCCTGCATTTGCTCTAGGCTCAAGCTTCTTGACATTGTA